CCCACCGGCGCGCTTAGTGGGGCGGAGGAGGCGTCACCTGAGCGAACGTCCTCGCCTTATTTCGGGAAGTCAACCTCTCTTCCTCTTTGGCACCCTCGTTAGGAGCCGCACTTCTCACGAACGGCATGGACGCCGCCATAGAGGTCGCCAATGTCGGAGCGACTTCCTTTTTGCGTCTCCTCCTCCTCACGACTATTCCAAACTCGTCCTCGTCCGTCGATGGTTCAGCCGTTGACTATGGGAGGATAACCGAGGCTGAGGCCGGCGCACGTAAGGGCACTTGAGGTTTTTAGAGGTGAAGGCGATCCTCTCCACCTCCTTCCTCTTCTGCACAATTTCCGCATAATAATTCCGCATAATTTCCAATGTCAAGACCGCCGACTTTATGTCGGCCACGCACTCCACGAGTTCACCGCCGGCCTCTTTCTTTTTTCGGGGGTAACAATCGGAGACTCCAATTCGGTTCCTAAGACCATCTCCTCCGACCCCACCTAACCCGGCTGTATTGTAGGGAGATTCTCTTAACGTCGAGGATGGTGAGATCTGGCGACATCTCCGCGGGGACAGGAGCTCATCCCAGAACCAACCCGGATCGCTCGCCCATACGGTTCCCTCGGAGTCTTTTCCGATGACCGCAGCACCACGGAGCGCACCGCACCAGGCGCAGGAACACAACTGAAGGCCTGGTGGTCCATCGCCAAAGTGCCGCGGTCACAAAAACGTGACCTGCTTTACAACCCTCATTCACGCACCGTAAACGTTATTGCTGTTTGCAGTGTAGCGGCACATGATTTAAGCGTCAAACGTAAACGAATTCGAATTTTCCGGTTCTCCCCCGACCAGTATAAATAAACGGACGCGATCGCGAGGAAAGGAGTTACAGTCAGTTGTAAATCAGTTTTCAACCAATTATCAACGAATTATCAGCGATCTAATTAACGAGTCATTAGCGATCCTATTTTACGACTTATACACTGTCTCAGCGAATCGGTTAGTACGAGCGTCTTTGCAAGTATTATCTGTATAATAATTTATCATTGTAAATATATTCGATGGTTTCAACAACGAGCAATCATGTCCATTAAACCTCACCGACCAACCACCTTTTACACATAAACCTCTACAGCAGTCATGTGCCATCAATTTTATTTAATTTTTCGCTGGGTCGTCATCACGAGTTTCAGTCCGGACGTTACTCTTTTGCACCCCACTCCGGTCAAAGCCGGTGCCGGGTGACGGCGATTCCCAACGCGATGGTGATCTGAATGGTCTTGATAGGCATGGCGGAATAGAACAATGACTTATTTAATCGTCTTTACTTTCATCTTAGTATTCCAAATAATTAAAAAATTATCTATTATGAAATATGTATCAAATATATTTTAAAACAAATATAAATTGTATACCAAATGTTACAGCTGTCTTAGTTAAAATAAATTAAACATCACCAAATTTCCATGAAAATTCATCGGATTGATCATTGATCGTTGTTGCGTCCATATATTAATATTCCTGATTCTTCTATATTATCCCTGCTATCGATGCTATAACCTGTACAAAAAATAACTAGAAATTAAAACAAATGTATAAAATAATTAAATGAAAAAACAATTAAACTCAAATTTTCATACAAAAACTTACCATACAACCTAGCAGTAACAATATCATTTAGTAAATAGACGACTGAAGAAAAATTAAAACAAAAAATGTCAAAAAAAACCGCTTAATTTAATTATCTTAATGTTCAATGAATCGTTAAATGTACATGTATTTATTAAACGATATTAATAACGAGATAGAAACTATAGTAAAAAAGTAATGAAGAAACGGTGCCACCGAAAGCACGCCACTTACAGGTTAAAATATTATAGGTTATCGGCACAAAATGAGACAATTGAACGATTACGCAACTTCCAAAGCGTTGTGAGGTTGCACGAGTCAGAGGCACAAGCAGATGCCAACGCCCATGCCGCGCTGAGTGCACTCGTTCCCGTCAACAGGCTACATCCCCAACATCCCCCCTGAAGCTTTCCTATACCTAGACGAAAAAAACTACCTCCAGGACCAAAATAATATCCCAATAATCTATCACATAAAAAGAAAAATAGGGATCAAAACTATACTCTACGAAGAAAACTTAAATGGACAGACCGCAGACATTAGGTGGAGATACAACATGGCCCTGCCCCGCCTCCCTCTGAAAGACACTAAAGCACAGAAAAAACACAAAAAAATATTGGTGGATACCGAATCCATAATAAAATAAGAGAGAAAACCATTAAACCGACAGAACTCAATTCTGACACCGTGTAACACAGGTGTAAACTGTAAATATTTGTAAATTTTGTAAATAAACCTATTTGACATCCCCCTCCTCCACCTCCTCTCTCTCATCTCATCCCTCCCCAAAGTTACACAGCACCCAAAAAGTAGACTACCGAAGCGTTCTGTTTTTTGACCAAGTTTTCAGGACAGAAAAATCAACGAAAAACAAAATCATATAAAAGCCCAGCGGCTTAAACCCAAAGATTGTATTAAACACAAAAAATGTAAAGCGCCGACACATAATATAGTATGGCTACGTCGTACCGTCGCGTATCGATACCTTTGCTTAACACATCATTACCAAAATTCACAGTTTATTGTGAATACCCAAATGTATTAAAATGTATTTTGGTGTAATAAACATTATTTGAAAAAGCACTGTTTCCTGTCAGATCACGAAAGTTAAGCAGCGCCGGGCACGGATAGTGCTTGGATGGGTGATAGCCTGGGAACTCCGTATGGCGTTG